TGTTATAAAAAGGCACAGCTCACAAAAACGTGTCCTTTTCAATAAAAACTTGTTAACGGGGAAAAGTGCCACCAGCTGCCTCCTGTTTTTTGTGTAGCCCAACATGGCTTTCCTCCTACAGTGTCTTCTCAGAATCAGTATGTGGTTTAATAGCTGAAAACAGTGGGCTTAGAACTGAGAGGCTATATTTGGCTTCTGTCATACAGGTAGTCATTTTTCCCATAGTTCTCGTTACCTGTTGGTCTCCTAATGGAATGTTGATGATAATCTCCTTTATGACAGACCTTTAAGAGGGTAAGATCTTTGAGAAGATCTTTGGGTAGGTACTTCTACAACTTCTGCTCCATGTGGTTTAGCCCAGCTAAAGACTCTGAAGAAGTTGGTATGGCTCCCATCAGCTAAGGCGGCCCTCAAGAGCTTCACTTAAGACTTGCTTCTTTGTGCAGCTTACCTAAATAGGGTGGGTTAGAAGGCATGGACAGTGACTGTGGGTTCCCATTGTTGCCCTTTCTTTTGCAGACATGTTGTCCAAGGAACCTCCCTGGTGTGATGGCTCCAATTGTTACGAATGCAGTGCCAAGTTTGGTGTCACTTTGAGAAAGCACCACTGGTAATCTCTCCTGAGTGTCAATATTTTAAGAATATCAAATGATGGATTGTTGCATAAATGAAAGTGATTTTTTTTAAAAAAAATTAAGGAATATGGTGAGAGGCTTGTAACCTGCCATTCTTAATCTTTCTGTCCCACTTTGCTTTTTTGAGATAGGCAGTGCAGCTGCCAATAGAGTTCATTGTGCTATTTATTGAAATGTGGCCCTTTCACTGTCCAGAAAGCAGCTTGTGCTGTTTCGTTCATTTAGTCCAAATCCTATGATCAGAAATGAGGCCTTTCCTCTTGCCCATCTTTCAGAGATGCTAACTCTTAAAGAAGAAAAGGAGCGTTTTCTCCAGAAGCCCCACACTGATGGTTTACAAATCTCAGTTTGGGAATTCAGGTTTAAAAATGTACAATAAATGCAAAACAAAAATAACAATGTCACCCACGCAAAATAGAGATCAGTATAAAATACGTTGTCCCAGAAAAGGCAGCTGCCAGTAAATGATTCCAGTTTCTTTTCAAATGCACCTTTTTGGCTTCTGAAAGCAAGCACTGACTTCAATTGAAGACAAAATACAAAGACCCAGATGAGATTCTCTCTGTATGAGGAGCACTATAAGAATTCGGTAGGAAGGCAGGCAGGTAAACAGACAGACAGACAATCTGCCATGGAATCAGTGTTGATTCTTAGCAACCACATACATTTTCTTCAATTTGACCCACACTTTGATTTTTTTAATCCTTCATTTTCTTCCAGCCTCTGCTTTAACAGAGTCAACCATCCTGTTTTGAAAAAAAAACCATATTAGTTATTAGTTATTAAACTTATATGGACATCTAGCTCTAACGATTGGCCATAAAAATTCCAACAACTTTTAGTGTTGTGGAAATCTCTTAATAGTTTTCTTTCCTTAACCATCTCTTCCTAAATAAATCCCTTGATATTTTTTTTCATCATAAACAAGTGACAGGGATGAAGTAAACACCTCTTTTTCCTTCCTTGTTCCTTGCAGCCGGCACTGTGGGCGTCTGCTCTGCCATAAGTGTTCAACCAAGGAGATTCCTATCATCAAATTTGACTTGAACAAGCCTGTCCGCGTTTGCAACACCTGCTTTGACGTCTTGACTGTTGGGGGTGTTTCCTAGTTGGCTGTGAGGAGGGAAATGACTCCCAGGGAATGCCTCCCCTTCCACCTTGTAACAGGCGCCTATCCCAAGTCACATCTCACAGAGAAGGGGAAGCTAATAGTTTGTCTTCCTGTTACAGTGGACTCTGACCAACTTAAGGGACCATGCAAATGCTATATTCCAGTATATATGATTTTTTTGTGGGGGGTGGTGTATTAATGTTAACAATGAATAATGATAAAAAAAAACTGCATTGGGAGAAAACTGGGAATGCTACAGAGAATCTGTGGGAAAACCAACACGATTTGGTTGAGCTGCTCTGTTTCCAGGTCAAAGCATTGAAAACCAAGATTTTTGTACTTGCTGATCATGCAACAAAGAAGGCCTTCCTTGGTGATAAAACTGTGACTTCGCTGTTCTAAAGTCTTATCACACTTTTTTTAAAAGAAAAGAAATAATATTGTTAGTACTTACATTTCTGGGTAAGTATGAGCTGATCTGCCCCTTTTGTTACCTTTCTGGAGAGAACATTTCTGGTGTTCTCTAATATATATTTTTTTTTACAAAGGGCAGCTGTGCCAGGCACAGTGACTGCTTTTACCCAAAAAGAGGTTGACCACAAGTTAAGTTTTTGTTCAACACATTGCTGAAAATTTTTGCGTGGCCTTATAATGAAAGCTTTACCACTTCTCCCGTTGAAAAGGAGGTTGACTAAAGCTCCTGGATTTTCAGAACCCTTGTTTGCTCTCCTGCATCAAAATCGGGGAGCGATGAGGCCAACTTCGCTATCAAATTCAATCGGGTTTTCTTAAGAAATAATTAATAATCCAAGCTGTCTTTCGGTAATGTATCAAAAACTTTGCAAATAGTCCTATGTTTACAGTGATGTTGAAGGAAGGTGTAATGCTATGGAACGAACTCCGCATGCAATGATGATGCTCCTATGGGGCATGTGAAAATGACTACCGTAAAGGCCGAGATAATGAAATAAGGATAACCAGGAGAGGTAGAATAGTGCCAGTAGAGCAACCAACAGCAAGACAGTGACCCTTGGAGCTGGTCATCTCCGTCCATAAATCTTGAGGCTTGTGATTTCTTACAAAATGCTTATGCATTAATATGATAGTTGCAGCTCACATCAAGTCCATGTGTAAAGAGAAGCCTATCTTGAGTCAGATAAAGTAGAATTGGCTTGCGGTTTTGTCTCTTGTGGGCCTCTTTCCTTGGACAAAGACATTTTATTGTTGTCAGGTGCCACAGCAGGTCTCTTCTAAAATCTTGGAATATATACAAGGGATATTTTTTTTGGTCATACGTTTAACACAGCAAAAAAAGGGGTTTCTTGGGTTCAAACCACCATGTACTTAAATGTAGAGGATTAGGGTGGGTTGGTGCAATCTTATAAACAGAACCAAACCCTGGAAGATAAGCAAGTCTTCCATTGCTTCTTGAATGGGTTAATTAAAATATGTGTCACTCTTCCCTTCAGTAACCACTACTTTTCAGTTGTCTATATGTATGTAAGGGAAGAGAAAAATATTAACTAACTAAAAATTGCATCCTCTCTCCTTTCTAGAATACTAATGCGTCCTGTAATGTTACCACATGGGTGAGTGTATGCACATACACAAAACAGAGTGTTACTTTTTAAAATATATTTCTGTGGTTTAAGGGACATAACAGCTTTACATGTTAAGCAAAATCTCGGGGGAAATTGAGTAGAAAGAGACTTAAGGGGAAGAAGTCAATGCTACATTTCAAATTGGATCCCAGTTTGCTGCTTGGCCCTTCTGATCTGTTGGGTGAAAAACTGGAATTCTGCCTTCAGTGACATTCAGGGATGATTAGGGGATCCTTAGTAATTATTTGCCCTTTTCTAAAATTCCTGCTTGTATCCATTTGCTTCAAAAGAATGAACCTCTTGTCATTTAACCTATAATCAGTGCAATCTCTACCCGCTCAAAGAAATAAGCTACTTTGTGAGGCTGTAGGCAGGCAGCTTGTTTTGGATCACTAGATGGGAAATGCAATAGTTCACCTGCTAACTCATCACACTTCATCTGAGCAAATGGAGGTGGAAGGTGAACAAATTGCTAGTTTTTCAGTTTACCTTGGTGATTCTGGTATTTTTTAAGAGTTATTTTTTCATAGACACATTACCATATTTCTACAGTGGCATTACGGACATTATGTAACCAATTTCCAGGTTGTAAATTGTATATATGATAGAACATTAACATGCCAAAATTAAGCAGGCCTCTCTCAATATCAATTGAGTTATGGAATTTCCCAGTTAAAGAGATTCTCCTGGGGCAGTGTGCTTGAATTTGAAATGGACTTGGTGGATTGCACAAAAGAAATAATTGTAAAGCACTTTTAATAAAAACACTTGTATCTGAGCCTATTCTACTGACTGGCCCAAAATTAATGTTTTGTTTTATTTTAAAGAAAAATGTTCTTACTAGTCAATGTATAAGTGTAACACTTGAGGATCTGACTGTTTCACATGTGCAATACTGTACCATGGTAGATTATAAATTGGCTGAGATGTTAATTTGTTCTAATGATCTGAACTTGTGGTCTCAAACTCATTTTCTTGGAGGAAAATTGATAGTTTGGTTGATTGTCTTGAGATCCAGCAAGTTTCATCCGTTTTTGGCTTGTATTTAGACCTAAACAATGGCAATTGCTGTTGAATGAAACACAAGGGGAAGATGGGGAGAACACTGCCTGCATTTTCTTAATTTATTAAGTGACATCTTCAATGTGGTCTTGTGATTGCTGGACCACTTGTTACCAATGCTGAAGCATTTCTTTGGAATATTTTTATCTACAAATTACATGAAAAGGGGCTAAATGTTATGAAAGAACTTGAGAATTTGAACCACTGTAACACTATATATTTATAAAGATGGTTAAGGAACTGTAAATCAATTGACAGAGATAACTTTTATCTGTGTTGGTTTTGGCCATGGCATCAAACTCTCTGGGGATCTTGCTTTCCTTGTTTTAGAGCACAAGGAGGGGGATGTGCTTGATTTGTCTTCAAGGACCAATACAAAAGTGCAACTTTTTAGAAGTTTGGAAGCAACTACCCTGTTTTCCCAAAAATAAGACCTCCCCACATAATAAGCCCAATTGGGCTTTTGAGCGTATGCGCTAAAATAAGCCCTCTCCAGAAAATAAGCTCGTCCCCAAAAACATTGCAACACAGCAGCAGCCATGAGGTGACCACACTTGCCGCCTCCTGCACCTGAAAAATTATAAATTATCCCCGAAAATAAGACCAAGCGCTTATTTTGGGAGTCAAAAGAAAACAAGACCCTGTCTTATTTTCGGGGAAACAAGGTATGCCTATTGCTAGTTTTCATACTGCCACATGTCCTTGGATTTTCCCCTTCAAAAGTAATCTGATTCTTCATGGTCTTAGTTTTAACATTCTTAAACCTCAGCGACCACATTTAGATCCCTTTCTCCCATCCCTCCCTTCTGCACAACTTCTCTCATTGGTCAGTTTCCCCATACTGCTCATTCTGTACTTTCAAGCACATGAAAAGTTTTGTGCTCCAGTTTTATAATTTGTGACAGTACTTACTGTATAATCCAGCATATGAGCACGGAAATAGTTTGCATGTTTCATATGTGAATAGTTTTGGACACCAAATCTACTGTTGTTTTGTAGACATTGTTCAGCAGTCCTCTGCAGCCAGTTCATCCTATCTCAGACCTCTTAAACTGCAACCTGCTCTCCATCCCCTCCCCTTGCCTTTTTCTGAATGGTCACCATGTGCCATAAAAAGGTAGCTCTAGCTTGAAAACATGTAAGACCAACTTGATATAATTTAAATCTGTGGAATGCAGGCATAGCCTGGAAATTTCATTTTTGTCAAATGAGTTTGCTTTTTCAGTCTTCTGAGAGCACTGACCTGCTTCTTGATTAGCTCTCAGCCTAAGATCCTGAAAATTGATTTTTCTTTGCTCATTTCCTAGCGTGTTAAAAAAAAAAAGTTGTATGAACCAACCTATAGAGGTAACTCACGATCTCTCTAGGAGTTTGTGCTTGTTTGTAATGTAAAGCCTTGTCTGAAGCTGCCTAGCCAGGAGTTTTATGGTAGGACTAAGCTGTTTACAGTGCAGATTATTAAAAGGACTAATCTGTGTTTGGGAAAGGATAACTGCTTGGCTTATGAAAGAGTGGTTGTGAAGTCTTGTATTCAAGTCAGAGGGACATTAGCGGAAGAGGAAACTTTTCTACCATTGGTTCTCCCACATAGCAACTCAGGTACTGAACCTAGATATCACAACATCAGGTAATTAAGCTTATGATGTCCAATAGACAGTAGCTATTTGCAAACATGCTACTTTGTTTTAAAATTGAAGTGTCTGTATTGCATTAAATAAGTTTTGCCTATACTTTTTTTGTCAGTCCCTATGGATTGACAGTACAAAACTATAGTCCTGTAGCCTTGTCCCTACCAGACTGGGATTACTGCATTCAACACACCGCTAATACCATTTTCATAGCAGGAAACTAAACATCTGCAAGTAATATGGCCTGTTTTTCAGCTGTTCTTAGTTTGAGAAACAAAGTCTTAATCGTTTTTTTTCCCAACTATAATCTTTCCTTCAAAAGCCCTGTAAAGCAATGTATTTTTCTAATATTTATATGCCAACTTGTAATTTCTTCTAATAAAGCAATTTAATTGAATTGGACACCAGTACGTTCTTGGCTACAGAAGTCAAGCAAAAGAACTGTATATTGCTACAAACTGAATACTGACACAAGTGATGCCCAATTTCATCCAGAATTTTTTTTAAAAAAATATTTCACTTCACCAAACTTCCAGATGTGTTGATATTACAGTTTGCTCAAGATAATAAGAAGTTTATCTGATGGGTTAATACAAACCATAACCTGAAGTAGTAAATTAAGCCAGATGGGAAACAATACAACGCATCAAGTGGGAGTTCAACGGGCATGTTTACTGAAGAGCAGCAAGAACTCTTTAAGTTATCTAACAAAGCATAATTTAGCAGGGTTAATCTAAAGATAACGGTAAATGTTTCCCCTGTCCAGTTGTGTCCAACTCTAGCTCATGTCGATTTCTTACCAAGGGAGCCAGGATTGTACAAAGACATTTCTGTGGTCACATGGCCAACACTGGCTATACTGTATGTTTAGGGACACGGGATGCTGTTTATCTATTCACATTTGCATGCTTTCAAACTGTTAGGTGGGCAGGAGCTGGGACAAATAACAGGAGCTCACTTTGTTACGCAGTGAACTCAGGCCGTCAGCTTTCCAGCTAACAAGCTCAGCGCCTTTAACCACTGAGTCATCGCAGCCCCTTTAGAGTGAATCCAGTTATTTCTTAAATATGGTTTATAAAACGATCAGTTCAGAACTCATGCGTTGTGCAGATCCAATATTTTAGCCTTGGGCGTTGTATCAAAATAAGAGGCAGGATAACTCAGCAGTTAAAAGACTGAGCTTGTCAGCTGAAAGCCCATTCAGGAATGAACCCCATGCAGTGGGATGAGCTCCCATTACTTGCTTCAGCTCCTGTCAAGCTAGCAGTTTGAAAGCATGCAAATGGAAGTAAATAAGATACCATTTTAATGGGAACATAACAGTTCCATGAGCCTCGGCATATAGTCATGCTGACCACAGAAGCATCTTCAGATAAAGCTGGCTCCCTTGGTTAAGAAATGAAGATAAGCAGCACTCCTAGAATTGGACATAACTGGATAGGAAAAACCTTTATTTTTGTCTTTTTGTTATTATCAATACAGCCATTTTATATGAGTTAGAAAATCAATTACAAGTGGTCAGGTGACCATAGGACATGGCAAATGGCCATAAATATTGCCCAACTGCGGAGCGCCCAAATCTCACTTGCCCTAGGCCCAAGATAGGTCTATAGTAACTGCAAGCAATCAGTCACAAATCGTGATCTACATGTATGCTTCCAGTTCATGCTGGTATCAATGACCTATGAAGCAGGTGCTGGGAGTCCATTTTACACCTCCATTCTTCAGGGCCAATGACTCTCTTTCTTCCTTCATTGCTAGAATCCTCTGTGTAGAGAAGCATGTCATCAACTTCCATGGTTTTAAACACGTTTAAAGCACTCTTCCCAATTCCTATTTTTTAACCTTATGTTTTACAAACCCGTATTTTTAAAGAGCTATTTTTAATTTCAAATTGAAATTTTAGGTAAGGACAGTGTGTCAAAATACATAGTTAAAGTTTCCTTGGCTTCCTTTAATGCCTGGATTGTGTAGAAGTGTTTAATCTCCAGTGAAATACGGCTGAGTCATTCTTTCAAAGCACACCATTCAGAAAGTGGGTGACACCCTTCGTATTCCTGGAGGTTAGGATTGTTCAACTTTCCTTGCTTGCTTAGCTGGGTAGATTTCTCTTGCCCAGAAAACAGCTCTTCTGTCTTTATGCAAATGCAATGACTACGACTGGATCCAGGTTCATAGAGCTTCCTAGGTACACCGGACCATTCTCGGCTGATGCCCCCACTGAAAACCACAAAAAGAAGAAATGAATGAAACGGGAAGAATGGACATGTTTAACAGCGATGTTATAGCGTGTGAACACAACAGCTTCTGCAATTTTTAAAAGCTAATTGAAGACAGCTATGCAATCCCACAGATTAGGCCTCCTCCGAATACCATCAGCTAGCCAAAGTCGACTGTCGACTCCTCGGGGGGAGGGCCTTCTCTGTGGCTGCTCCGGCCCTCTGGAACGATCTCCCCGTGGATATCCGGACCCTCACCACCCTTCCGGCTTTCCGCAAAGCCACTAAGACCTGGCTGTTCCGGCAGGCCTGAGGCTGATGAGTTCCTGGCCCCATTTAAACTGTTGTGACTGTTGCTCTGTTTTTAACTTGTCTGTTTTGTCTTTTGTTTGTATTTCCCTTCCCTCTTGCTTGTTAGCCACCCTGAGTCTGTCGGGATAGGGCGGCATACAAATGCAATAAACATTTCAACATTTCAACATTTCAA